CGCTGAGACAGGTTCCTGTCAGTTCACATTACACTACCTTGTCCGGAGCAGACAATGACGACCAACCGAAATTCTGTTTCTCGTACGAGTCAGGATAAGAAACGACAACGAAAAGTGAAGGAAGATGGAAACCCCAGTACTTGGGATTACAGGCCGAGTTATCGTCCTGCGTCCAGGCATGTAGGGACAATCGCCAGTCTAAGCTACAAAGAAGCAACGATTTCGTAGTCATCAATACAGCAAAGACAAGGAACGAAAGAGAAGCTGGCGAATTTTAAAATAAAAATTCTCCACTGGAATCATCATCATAAGGAGATAGAAGAAGAAATCTTTGAGTTAAATAAGTGTTTTTGAAGTTGACAGATTTCTTTGCAGTAACACATAAAAGTCTACTTCTTAAAATACAACACATGGATATATTTCTGAGAAAACTTAAGAAAGGAATATTTTTTTTTCTGAAGTCTGGTAAGAAACAAAATATTTACGATTTTCGTAACATCAAAGTGAGGTTCTTGCTCGAAAATAAAAGCACCAGTTCTTTTTAATGTGTTTCTAGGAACAGCTTCTTAACCATTCTGCTGATACATAATTCCATTCGAAATTTCAGGTTCTCAAGGCGGCGAGCACGAAGACGACTTTCTTGGATGTAGAAACGTACTGTCACTTGAAAGACCAAAAATGAGATGGAGGACAGCGTTGAGATGTATCTTAGTAGTGGGACTGGTTGAGAGCACTGAACGTAAATGAAAGTAATTCAGAGTCACGATTAATGGCGGACGTTGGTATTAACAAGGTTGAAATTCCGGGTTATGTTACTACTGATTTACTCGGACTATTACATTGGGTCAGAAAAGTTCGCATCAACAAAATTATCCACACCTGAATTCTTTCTTTCTTCATTATTCGGCCTTAAGAAATATCTGAAGTTATATTCTTCTTCACTACGGATTAAAAACGTGCACATTTATAAGGCCGATATTGATTTTGGTAATAAACTGCATGCTGTACTGTGTAGGACTAAGCGGGTTACCAAAACGATCATAAGTTTAGCAATATTTACTTCGATGTAAGCCAAGGGTCACCATTAAGTGACTAGAGTCTTGTTTAGTTCATCAGAATCGTGCAGGATGTGGTGATATTCCTATTATCCGTTTAGTTTATTAGCAGATTATATGTATGATGCATGGCAGATTTATGATAGCTGTATTACATAATAACTCAGACCGAAAATACTTTCTTTTTCAGTGCCCTATTCTAACGCATTTACTGAATCGTCAAAGTTTTTAAAAATATGTGTGTTCTTAATAGTACGGAGATTTCTACCACTGTAACTGACATGAAAAAGAATTGTAAGTATATTGCCCTCTTAAAATATAATTCTTCTTATAACATTAATACTACTAGGAAAATAATTTATTGTGAACAAGGAATTATTAGAAAGTAATTTCATATCGTACTAATGTTACGCAATTTTTATTAAACTGGTAACAACCGGTCTGTTACTCAAGCAGTAATAAACAACTCATTCAGATTATAGAGTTTCTCCTTATTCTTGTAAAACATGTCGGCCGCTTAGTTCAGAAGTCTAAAATACGAATTCCTCTTAAGCTATCGGAGGTTTTAGCGACAGCACTTTGAAATAAACTTAAGACTTTACTCACTGGAATGTCTACACAATGCGCACAGAACAGAATTCGTAGTGAGTCGAAACTTTATGCGTAATGAAAGACATCTTTCCCAGAAGCGATTTAAAATTTTCAGGCGACTGAACAGTAACTCATAACGCTATAAAAATTAAGTACCCTATTAGGACCTTAAAATTCTTCGGAACATCACTTAAAAGGAATGTCATTTTTCTTCATCCCTCAATAGACACGCCAAATATATTGGCAAATGTAACGAATTGACAGGTTTATGTGCTTGCATTATGTGACGATTCACTCGTGCTTCGATTAAACGTTTAATTGCTGACATAAACGTAAGATTGATCCCGTTTCTAATTATTTTAATGAATTTCGAAACATACAACGATTAATTTTTCAAGGTAGTAAATAAACATACTGTTCTTTGGTGGGTGTATCTGCTAACATAAAATAATAGAAACAAATTATGTACCTTCTGTAAACATTTACAACTCCTTTTTTATTTTATAATGCGTTCATCTAAAAAGGTAACAGTTTTTTATCTTTACAACAATTTATATTCGTGCAAATGATCAGTACAATACAGAGACTAATCGACTTTAATGAATGGTCGGTCGAAATTCATTTTAGTCCAGAAGGCAATGAAAACAGAAAAGACCCACTCACGCTGTCGACTATTCTGCGTGACTCTGTGGATTTCTAGTCTTTTTCCCATTCCTGACTACAACGACGAGACTGCGAAGTCAGCTGACTTCGCTGCCTTTTGACATTTTATATGTGCGCCGACCAACTTGGAATGTAAACCACCATGTTTCACTTCGGGGTTCAAATTCTTTACTGCACATTTTATAAACCATTCCTCTGAGCTCATTCAAGTATGCAGTAAACTAAGTGGCTTTATGTCGATGGCTCCAACCTGTTTGCAAGACTCTAAACGCAGTTTTCCGGCTTCTTGGTATAATATTTATAAACCACAGGTATAAATAAATGGATTTAAGATGTTTAATAAAACAAAGAGGTAGAAGACTGCCGAGATAAGTAGATTAGACTTTACTAATGTACTTCAAGAACTAACCGACTGAGTTATTGTCTAACTATGGGTAGCAGAAGCTTGTAGTTTCTAAGCGGGCAAACACATTATCCGACTTTTCTGAAATCTGATGCGTTTACGACACTCAGCAAGTGGATCCCATTCAGAATTAGTCGAATTAATCCACATCCTCACACTATTATTCAGATCCATTTTAATATTATTCTCCCATCTACGCGCAATTCTCTGTAATAGTCTCTTCCCTTTAAGACCGAAATTTTAAGAAATATACAAATTTTTGTCGTCACATCTGAAGAGAAGACGGGTCATATTTAATAATCTCGCCACTCGTCTCACGGCATTTATTTTGTCGGCATCATTCCTTCATATTATGTTCGTCCCGACTTATAATCTCGACATGGAGACCGTCAGCCTACAGCTTTTCGTGGTTTCCTTCTTCGTTCAGGCAAATTCATCACAACCGCTTTTCCTACGCGTTTTTTTAGAATCATCCTACCATTCAACGGTACACAATATACGAATGAAAAAGCACCAGAACAGAGTCTACATTAATCCAACTCACAGCTTTATTTCTTATTATTAATGCGGTCGGGTTTGTTTAAATTCGGAGTCACAAGAAAGCCCTAAATTTCCATCTACTCATTTTATGAAGAAGCTAGAGGAAGATTTTCAATTCTATAATTAAACTTCTTGCATTTTTGAGTTTCTAGGCACCAAAGATGGACACATTGCCAAGAAAAGTAACTTAAACGTTCGTAAAGCAGAACTTCAGCGACAATACAGCCCTGTACATCACGATTTCCTCATACCCCGCCTTCTTCCTTCGCCTGTCGGCTGCTCAGATAATCGCGCACCCGAGCTAGGAAATTGCTGACTAATGTTGCTGTTGACGCTCGTCTCTTGCGCGATGAGACAACTATTGTGCTTATGTTGGCAGCACGGAATCATCAAACGACCTTAATTGTAATTGCACCGTGCTCTTGTATCTGACACTGCAGATTAACAATGACAAACCAATTAAGCCGATCTCATTATCATGTACAATTTTTCGAAAACAACAGTATCATTCTTACTCATAATTAATATTAAAAAATGTTTTTGGGAACACGTAAAGCATCTTAGTTTATCTTAACTGGGTTTTCAGGGATATAAAACACTGCTTTCTAAATGCCGGC